GCATTGACACCCGTGGCGCGCAGACACGCACGCGGACAAAACGGTGTGAGAGAGAGAGAGAGAGAGAGAGAGAGAGAGAGAGAGAGGAAGGACGGATTCGACCGGTCATCCGGTGCGTGCCGGTTAACGGAGTGAGATTTTTGGGTTGACGCACGCAATTGTTTTTCGCCTCCACCTTGTACCTTGTGACACGTGGCGGTTGGTGGTTTAGTGCAGCGCGTCGAGCGTGATTACCTCGAATCTATAGATATGGCGGAAGGTGGCTACGGGTTAAGGAAGCCAGGGCTGGCCCCACTGAAGCAGACCCGTTTGCGCTCGAGCTTCGGTACTCAAGTGAGGACTAAGCCCCTTCTCTTCTTATGATAAAATTTTGATTTCTAATTTTTTCTTTTCGAAGAATTTGAATTTCAAATGCCCTTTTTTTGTTTTCTAATCCTAAATTTCTTCTTTCCTGGGACCATGTCCCACTAGCTCCGTTGAGCTAGTTCAACGTGGGGTTTTCGACCCTGTGTGACTGTACGCGACAAGGGAGATTAAGAGCGTCCAATTCATCCGACGGTCCATTTTTTATAAAAAGGGCAATAGATACTATCTTCGCTTTTTCTTACAAAAAAAAACAGAAATAAATACTTTCTCTCGAATACTACTACCCCTACCCTCGCCACTTTCCGTTGAACTAGCTGTCTCCTTTTTTCGAGACAGCTAGTTCAAGGACCCTCTTGTTCCCCCAAAAGGCGTTTTTCGAAAGAAACTGAACGAGCCTCCTTCCGCTTGCCATTTTTGGAGGGGATTCGGGCAACTCTTCATTTTCTGCTGTGGAAGCGCCCGTATGCCACTCCAATTGTGAAAAATGAAAAACGAGAACAATTGTATTCCTGCCATTTATAAATGCATTTCTCATTTGAAATTGAATTAAAATGAATTTTTTTAGCTGTCGCACCGTTGAGCTGCCTCAACTAAACGGTGCATATGGGACATGGTCCCTGAGCTCCAAGGGCTCCTCTCCTATCTTCGATGGCCAGATTTACGAGAGCTCAAAAATCTTTTCCTTTTTTTTTTGGTAAAATTTTCGAAATGCCCCTGAAGTTAGCGTTTATTTGCGGCGTGCCCCTCTGACGGCTGACTTACCTTCTCGAGCCCCTCTGACGACACATGCTGTTTCCAGAAAACCCCTGGCGTCGTTTGGGCCTGGACCATGTTTCATATGCCCCTACCGGTACCGGTAGAAAATTTTCAGTATGCCCCTATCGGTACGGGTAGCAAATTTTCAGTATGCCCCTACCGGATGGCCGTTGAGAACCGGCACTAAAGTTTTCCATATGCCCTTACCGGTACCGTCCATCTTTCCAGCGAGCCACACTCGCAGTCTTTCCCCTGGCCCCGGGAGAGGTGCGACCGGGGCATATCAGGAATTTGGCGATGGTCCTATCTTTCTGCCGTGCCCGATTGATTTCCATGGATTTGGGCATTCGAGGCCTGCGAGGCCTCTGTGGCTTGACATTCACGGGATGTGTGGTCTGTCTGTCGTGCACATCGTGGTTTGCTCTGTGTGTGTGTGTGTGTGTGTGTGTGTGTGTGTGTGTGTGTGTGTTGCTACTAGCATATGCGGTGATATCCTGCCCCTCCCAAAATGAATACCAGCAAACCATTTTTTATTTTCCATGTTCATTGGGAGGTGTCAACTGCATGTGTGATACCTTGTTCGGTGTGCAAGCACATCATCACACAGACATTGAGGGCCTCGGCACACAAACGAAAAACGGACGAATGCATCTTCCCGCGGAGAAAAGCAAGATGCAGCGGTTACTATGAATAGCAATGGATGCATCTAACCACTTTCCGGCAGATGCATTCGTTCTGTTGTGGTTTCTACAGTGGTGTGGCGAGGCCCTGAGTAAAGAGGGTGAGGGAGAGAGGGAGGAGAGATGTATAGTATCGCAGAGCAACAGCCAAAAGCAGACTCGAGGGAGAAGCCTCTCTCTCTCTCTCTCTCTCTCTCTCTCTCTCTCTCTCTCTCTCTCTCTCTCTCTCTGTGTCTGTGCATTTGTTCGTTCGCACCCACAATTTTACAATCAGCTACCAGAAACTGGCGTCTCACATCTGTGTGTGTGTGTGTGTGTGTGTGTGTGTGTGTGTGTGTGTGTGTGTGTGTGTGTGTGTGTGTGTGTGCGCGTGCGTGCGTGTGCGCTTCCCTCTTCCTCCCTCTCTCCTCTCGCTCGCTCGCGAGCCACAATTTAGTTTCTGGCCGAGTGTGAAGGGCACAGCCCTCCACGGACCTCACGATGCACCAGACCAACCCTCCACGCATCTCATGCTGCACAACACCAGCCCTCCACGCACAAGGATGGAGAGACAGATTCGTCGCAGCCATGGACCACTCCGACCTTTTTGGATAGTGTCGCAGCTGAAGACACGAGAAAAGTGCGGTGGAAACATCAATGCCCGGCCGCCGTGTCAATTTGGCGGGTGACCAACTCACCTTTTGAAAGTATTGGGACATCTTCCTGGTAGATATACTGCACAACGCTCTGTACATGCATATTGAAAACGAAATGATCCCAATTCGTTCAAAATGTACAATCGCTCTGTGACGATGACTGAGGGAGGAACGAGGGAAGAGGAGGGAAGACGAGGAACGAGCGAAGAGGAGGGAAGAGGAGGGACGAGGGAAGAGGAGGGACGAGGAGGGACGAGGGAAGAGGAGGGAAAAGGAGTAGGAAGGACAAGGACTATGACGATGATGGACGAGGATAGAGGATGGAGGCTGGAGGGGAAGAGCGGAGAGCCACGAGCATCTATGGAGGAGGAGGGAAGAGGGAAGAGGAGTAGGGAGGACCAGGACTATGACCATGACGGATGAGGATAGAGGATGGAGACTGGAGGGGAAGAGAGGAGAGCGACGACCATGGATGGAGGAG